TATGTATTATATAAAATTGAGGTAGGGTAAAAAGAAGTAATCTTGAACATTAATTATCTAGATTAAATATATTCTAATTATGAATGACTTTGGAGCTTTTGATTTTTTGTGAGGTATTAATTTTTAAAAAATGTTTCCTGGTAAAATTGAAAATGCACACAATTAATTTATAATTTGTTTCTTAAACTCATTTTTAAATGTCTATCTTGTAAACATGACTCTCAGTAACTATGCTTAAAAGCAAGAATAACTGCTATAACTTATAAAATCACTACTTGCAAAAATTCAAACTCAATCAAAGAACTTCTGGAAAGATGACATCTGGAAAGATGACATAAGAATTACTTTTAAAAAATAATAGATTTTATTTAAGCACCTTTCCATAAGAATATCACTAATTTCAATTAATAGAACTTTATGGAATAATATATAATCACACATATACTTTCTGAGTATTACAAAAATATAATATATTCTCCTAGTTATTGGTGGAATTTATAATCTGCTTTCCCCCAATGAGTTCACTTAATGATATACTGAAAATACAAGAAAGCTCCAAAAGAAAATTCTGTAAGAACAGAGTGTGGAATTTTCCTATTTATCAAAATGAGCATTCACGTGAGTTATATGCCTGGTTTATGCTGTAACAAAATTTAGTGCTATAAAGATCACAATAAAATATTTTCCAAACAATGAAGTAATTAATATAACTTCTTACAGATGTCTTCAAAATTTATTGCCCCTTTCCATTCCAAGAGGGATCTATTTAACCTAAACGTTTTTGCAATTTTTAAACATTTTTTTCTCTCTAGTTGAATTTTACAATAGCTAGATTATAAAGAATGCTCATTCACTGGGAGATGCGAGGAGTAAATATGGGGAATTTAAATCCTCAAACCATTAGCCTTTTCCAAAATAAAGTTTTTATTATAAAAAATCGCATAATTACCAAAATTTTTATTTCATTTTGAATGTTTGGAAAATCCAAATTTAACTTTCTTAAAGAAGAATATTTAAACCATATCCACAAGATATATATTTTAGAGCTAATGGAAATATTTGACATATTAAGTGCTATTTTCTCAAAGGATTTATCAATCAATGTCTGACAATAAACCTGCATGTATGCCAGTAATGCTAAGCAATAAAGACTTCCATAATTTCATAAGAGCAAATTTCAAATTTTCTCCCAAAATAAACACTCAGCCATGCCACAAATTCCTCTAATAATCTTCAGAGAACATTTTTTATCTCTGGTTTCTAAATTTTGACAAACTATGTTTTGCAACATTAACACATTAGTCAGTGCTGCTCTGGCCCTATGACCACGATAAAACCTCACATATTTTATAATTTCACTAAGCTCCGGGATAAAAAGCAAACTCAAAGCTGTTGGATATTTGATGAAGCAGTGACCAATCTACAGCACAGGCCCTGAAGAAACACTGTCATTAACACCCCAGCTGTGTCCTCCCTCCCAGCACACTGTCTTGGACTGACACCGTTATCACATCATCCCACAGATTTCTCATGTAAACGGGGAAATGGATAAACAGGAGGCCATACCAGAAGGGGCTCGTCAGGGGCACTGGTGGAGAGCTCAGCAGATGATGTGCGGACGGTGCTGAGTCCAGTGAGGGAGACATTGGAGAGCCTTCTCCGCCTCACGCCACTGCAATTGTTCGGGATTTTAAATGCACATCTCTTATGGTAATTCAGGCCACATCCTGGAAGGGGAAAATAAAAATAACTTTTGTTCCACCATAAACTAAAAAGCTATTCCAATATTAGTTGTAAAGTATAAATTTTTTGAAAATAGTACTCCTATTTTTCTTGAGGCTATTTGGAAATTCAAATTTTCTTTTGGCTTTCTCTGATTTTTTTTTTCCAATTTGTAAATGGGTTTTGAAATCTGATCTTAATTGGACAAACTCAGCGACTACATTGATTATCATTTTTTAAAACGTCAGTGATATAATGAACTTGGGCTTTGAGGGATCTAGCAACAAAACTCCCAGGTTTGAATTCTGGCCCTACGACTTGCTTGTCTACATGGTCTTGAACGAATTATTTCACCTCAGTTTCCCTGTTTGTAAAATGGAGATAGTAATGACTACCTTGTAGAATTATTAAGAAGATATATGAAATACCTCACATGCTGGTTTTCACATGTAGGTGATCAGTAATTGAAAGCAGATCTCCCACTTAGGGAAGTATCATCTTCCTTTCACTATTTATACTATTCATATTCCTCACGCAGCTGGAGTTCACTACTTAGGATTTCCTCATGTGTCACAGCAGGCCAGACAAATTCATAAAACTATACTTCAGGCAGAGTTTCTTCTATATCACCAAGTCCTAACTTCCCTCCTCAAACACAGAAATTCAAAAATTGCAGTTAGCTTATTTATAGGTTGCATCATAAATGCTCAGTCATATTGGTCAAAGTTCAAAGAGCTCTATCCCCCAGTCCAAAGAGAACAGGGTATGATTGGGTAAGATTTTAAGATTATATCATGTTGTTCTAGCACCATGAATTGTAATTGTGCAGTTCAAGGAGTTCTTTCCACAGGCATCATAAAACTATGGCATTGGTGTAGAAATGCAGGTACAATTTCAAGTTTGCCATTCAACAGCTAAATGACCTTAGATGGTTTGATTAACTTCTTGCATCTATGCTCATTTCAACAAACATGTGTTGAATGCCTACAATACCAATTTCTGGTTTACTTAAGATGCACAATTTATTTTTAGTCTGTTACTAAAACATCGAACACAATACAGGGGAGAAACACATCCACATGATAAAGGGGAAAAGATGTGAAAATCAGGGATTCCCAGATTAGGCCACGTATATTAAAAATAGGCAATTTAAAGAAATGAACAGAACAGAATCCATGCACCCAAAAATGCCTGGAAGATAATTCTGAGGGAAAGACTCTGTAATGGAGGGCACAACATACGCAGATCGTTCCAGCATGCATTCGACTTGGCAAGGGAAGAATCAACTTACCTTCACATTTAAGGCCTTGACGCACCAGGCCCCACAGCATTTCTCCACAGTGATCACAGAACGCTGGAGCTCTGTAGGAATGAACAAAGAGAGCGTGCGGACGAATCTGAAAGTCTTCAAAGGTGGCGGACGCTGTAAAATAGTAACGTTGAAAAATAAGTTGAATGGATACCCTGATCTGTAAATAATAAGTATTCAAGATAATAAATATGCAAGTATGGATATAACTCTCCAGGCCAAGTTAGGGAAGATAAGATGCAACACCACTTGCACCTTTAGCCATTAAGCCTTTATTCTTTCTGGCCATAGTTTTGCAAGTGATGGCACAGCAACCCTCTCTCTTCTCTTCCTAATGCATGGCAAAGTTTCAAACCACTTTGAAAACAGCTGAATTGCTGGAAGAAAGCATGAATGAAAGATTGTCAACCTGATTTACAAATACCTTATGTTACTTAAAATAATTTGCTTTTTTTTCTTCTTTACATGAACAGGAAAGGTATTAAAAATACTAATGAAAATAAAAAGTAAATGAATTCAGACAGATCGGAAAATAGTGTACTGGAGTATGACCATGAAGAGGTACCCTAGAAGTGCAGACTCCAGTTGAAAGAAAGATAAGAAATCGGAGCAGCCTCTTCTTGGAAAGATAGAGCTGTTTGAACTCTTGGGCAATATAACCGAGCCATAACTAAGCAGCCTCTTCACCAACTGCCAGACAGAGGGATTTAATACATACACTGGTGAATTGGGGTCCACTCTTTGACAAATATACTTTAGCAAACCGTATTTGTACTGTAGGGTAGGGTATTTTTTGTAATTGCTTATTCTATATGGTAATCGTTCAGAATATTGAAATCCATTTTTTAAATTACACTTTTCCATATGATATTTTTATATTATAAAAGTGGTTTGTGTTTTTTTTGTCATTGTTGTTGTTGCTGTTGTTCAAATCAAGAAGTAGAAAGGTATAGAGAATTAAAACTAAAAGATCGGCCCTTCTTTGAAAGTTCTAATGGAAAGTTGTGGCTATTTCCAGACCTCTTTGCATCCATAAGCTTGATGCTGAGGCTGCACAGTACTAAGAGTGCCATCTTGGCAGTCGGAAGAGCTGAGTGAGCCTTTGCCATTACTGGAGTGATGTCTCACTTAATAATCATGAGCCTCAGTTCCTCATACCTAAGAAGAGAAGGTCTCTCCGACGATGACTTCTCCAGTCCCTTCAAGTTTAAACTTCCATTAATGTTAGATTAGAACCACATGCACCTGATCTTATAGGTTTTATTAAAAGAGAATTTGGGGGGAAACCTAGGCCTTAGATATATCCTTGTATTCTGCCTTCCTTTCCCTCCCTCCTCAATTGAAATAAGTTTAGGATATTGCATATTATGTTTTCCACTTCAAGATTCACAATATTATGCTCAATGGTTATTCTAAGTACATCAGTAAAAAGGTGTGGTTTGGGTACCAATCATCTACTTTGATGGTTTGGTCAAAATGCTTCCAGTTTGGGGAATGCTAAATTCTCTTTAAAATTGGTCTCTCATGCTCATGTGCAAAATTTGTTTTTAAAATATCAATGGAAATAGTTAAAGTAAATACTTTATGGCAACCATTAACTCCCAGCTTCTTACCTCATCCCCAAAGTTATTCCTCAGTACCAAACAACCATGACAATACTATGGCAGCAATTAGTTGAATAATTACTGTAGTTTTCAAAATAAGAAACACTGGAATTTGACAATACAAATACCAAGCTGCATTCAGACATTTTTGGAATTAATCAGGAAGAATATAAATAATTAAACTAAAGATTTTCAATGACACCCCATCCCCCAATTTATGTCAGGTAAATTTGTTTTCTAATTTTTGAAGGGGATTAACATTCACAAGCAGTTAGCACCCTTGACTTATGTTTAAATGCCATATTTCTAAAGTTCAATTTTAATATTCTCCTGTTAATTTTAG